CTATTTGTTATTCCAGACCTAATAACAAATACAATATAAATGATTTACCTAAATGTCACTGACCTATACAATTGGAAAAATTCAAGGTGTTCAGTTGTGGAATATTTCCCAGAATGTTTAAAACAGCTGGTGATTTTTCCAATGTGATAAGCACTTACAAAAAGGGTTCCAGCAAAAACACGGAGAAATAATGATTACAAACTTTCTCTTCCATTTCAGAGGTTGTTAAAATTTAGAGCAAATTGAAACAAAATATTAAAGCATAGAAAAATAAGATGATTTGAATACACACACAAACATACCATATATAAATGGTTTCAGGAGAACTGGAACTTATTTGAAAGAATATAGGGAAAATGAGAATCAATAGTTATAAACTATCAAGATTTTCAGTTAATTTTCTGCATCAAACACTATTAACATAATTTAGTCACCAAGTGATCAGAGTGATTAGAACTGTGGTTTTACAATGGTTTTGAGCAAGAAGTGCAGGATAATGATAAATAAACTCATCTCTGAAGTGTTCTTTTATAGATTTATAAATAATTTGGAGGAAGCAGTCCAGAGCCAAATTTCCAAGTCTATAAATGGCATAAACTTTTTATTGCAGTGAAATCATAAGCTAACAGAGATAAACTGCAGAAATTTCTTTTGGTATGAGAGGGCATAAAAATGGCAAATGAGTTTCTATATAACAAAGCCCAGAAAGAAAGTTGCTTATGGAAGGATTATCCAAACTTTACTTATGACTTAGCAGGAACTTGGAACCAGCAACTATCCAGATAAAGGCCTAAGCATTCCTTATAAAGTCTTTCCTAAGGACATTGGTCCTCTGAGATATCTCAAGGAAAACAGTCAAAAGCTGGTTATTCTTGAGAGAATTATAAAAAAAAAAAAAAACTTGTTTGGATATTGCACAAAGTCATAAGCAAAGACAAAATAGAAATTAACTCCTATACTAGTAATCAGAAACTATTACATATGTAGTAGAATGTTGAATTAGATTAGAACCAAAAGATACAACATTTCCAACTGCAAAAATGAGACTCTGGCATGAGAGGGCAGACTTTGAAATGTGAAACAGATAAACAAATAATTGGGAAAAAAAGTTATTTTATACAAAGGGGAAATAAATGATCTACTATTTTAACCTGGGAGTTAGAATCTAAGCTTTAAAAAATTCTAAAGGTGTTTGATACCACCATGATGGTTGTCACATATTAGGAAAAAATAAGGGTTAGGTTTAATACCACCTTTGAAATGAAGGGGAGAGCCCGGCAGTTGTCAATAACTACTACATTTTCCTAGAGCCATTTTTACTGACAAAATATTAGTCTGCAATATACCATACAAAACATTTTCTTGTATCATTGTTCTTACAGTTCTGTAAAGTAGCTCTCTTCCTGATAAATAAGAAATTCTCTTTGTATCTGCTTCAGTCCTCTGCTCCTGTCATTTGTGTATTTCTGCCTTTATCTACAATCTACTGCTTATCTTCCTGCTCTGTCCCCTTTCCCCCACATTATACATTATTTTATCTTATTTTCAGCTTCTTTTTGTCACTCTCATTTCTATTCCGATTTCTTTCATCTCCCACTTTCCATTCAAACTCCTTCTCTCTTTTCTAGATGCCACTAAACTTTTACTATTTGATGTTTTAGAAATTGTAAAGAGGAGGAAAGATAAGAAAATGAAAATAACTAAAGGAAAAGAAAAGTTTATTTAGGGTTGGGAGGAGATTTGGGAATGTACTGCATCCTTGGCCACAGGGACACATAGTGCTATAGTATTCCAGTTCTCTTTCTCCCATTCCATGGAGCACAGGCAGGTAGATAGCCAAAGGCTTGATCATGACTTCTTAAATTTTTCTTCCTATAAAGGTACAGAATCAAAAAGAATAAACATGATTTTCTTAAAATACTATTAAAATACTCATTTTTTAAAATTACATTCCTCTGTGAAACAGCATGTCTTTATGTAAGTCAACCAAATATTGCATTAAATGTAGAAACATGAGAATCCAGTTCTTTTCCATTAAGCTTGATGTTAGCAAGTGAAAAAATAAAACAGACACACCCTTCTTGATGTTTATTTGTTTGTTCATTTATTATGGAAAATATATTTAATTTTCATGAAAACATTTTCATGGTAAAATTTAATAGGATTATTATGGCTACCATTCAATAAATTGCTGAATAGAAACTTAAAATTTCTCAGTTTTAATTTATAAAATGGTAAACAATGGTAACTAAACCCATTAAAGTAAAAGGTTTTAGGAGTCCTCAATAATTTTAAACAGTGCAGTTTCTTTATAAATTATATTTTACTATTCTTTAGCATTATTAAATGGAAACAATAGACTGTTTAGCATAGTTGAGATTAATTAAGTCAATTAAGTTTCTTAATTGAGCAATACTTTGTCTTTCTTAGCAGTTATCATCAGCTGCTGAAAAACCTAATTTATGGCTTTATACTGAAGAGTTGTGAAAAAAGGCAATCTGTCTTTCCAGGAACACTTTTGTATTCAATGATGGAAACACATACCTCTCCATCTCCACACACACCCCTCTTGAGGCAAATATATAAAAATCCCGTATAAACTTCTTTTGTACAAATGTTGCATTTGCTGGTAACCAAAAGAAATCCCTACTATCTCTTAGAACACAGAAATTGAGGGTTGGTGTTATAATCTGGCACCAGCAAGTTTGTAGTCACAGAAGTTTTGCTGGGCTGAGTTAATCAGGAGGTGTGTCTTTTAAAGGGCACAGGAAGCCCTAGGCATCCGTGAGTCGATGATTTGTAATTAAGATGACTAACACAATTTCAACCATTGAAGAATGTCATCCATGATGGGAAGTGTGAATTTCATCTAAATCTGTACACTTGGATATGAATATGACAAGGAAATTTTAATATTTGCCCATAGATGGAACAAACTACGGAAACTGTATCTAAATGTGTGTTTTAAATTTATATAGTTTTTCATGGTCTGGAAAATTAGTACAAAAAGTATTTCCCAAAGTGGTAAGATTTCTAAGAAATTTGGCAGATGCAAATCTATAACTTTTCTGTAGAGATAAATCATCAAGTCATCCTCCCAGGTTTCTAACAGATAAAGCCAACTGAACACGATTTCACAGTCTAAAATGACAAAACCCTTGAGGAAAATATCCACAATGAGTCAGAGCCAACAGAAAACTAATGGCAGGAATATACTCCTAATTCACTCATGTTATAGACGTATAATATGTGGCATAAAATACTATTTGAAACAATAGATGGGATGAAAGAAGCAATTGTTTAAACAAAGGGAAAATAAAATACTCTCTAAAAAGATCAGGCAGTTTAGAATGACTGAGTTGCAAGAAATAAAATAATGTAATAAATGATTTTTTTAAGTAGAGGTAAGAATTAGGTTCAAAAATGGATTGAAAAGAACCTATTGAGTTAGAGTATATACCATTATATACCTGGAGAAATTATTCAGAATGGTATTCAGAAATTATTCAGAATACCATAATAAGGAAAAATAAATAGAAAAAAAAATGTATAAAAAGTGACATGAAATTTAAAATGGAAAAACCATTCTGTATCTAATTAGTTATAAGAGAAAAAACAATGAAAAAAGGAAACATCTATAGAGATCCATTTCCAATAATTTTCTAGAAACAATGAAAGTCATGATTTCTCAAGTTCAAAAAGCATAATGATTGTAAATGTGGGATTATAAAATCAAATTTATTAGACAATCTAAATATCTTCTAATGAAAGTGATGACAGAAAAAAAATGAGGATAAAAAAGATAGATTCTCCATAAACACATGGCAATCAATTAAAAATATAATAGGGTTTTACAACAGTAACATTGAAGCTGTAAAATAGAACAATAATGTTTTCAAATAACTTCCTTCATTTTATATCCATCTAAACTGTTAAAAAGGGACGAAAAAACATTTTCCAAAAAGTTGAAGAATTTAGCATAAACAAGCCTTTAAAAATAGAGAAAATTGAATAAAAACTGAAGAACTAAAAAATAAAGAATAGAAAGAAATAATTTATAATTATGAATTTTAACAGGCTTTGCCTGTATCTAAACATGTAGTATAAATATATTTAGCAATAAGTAAATAATAAAGTTTTTAAAAATGTTAGAATGCAAGGGTAATCTCAATTTAACAATTCAGAAGCCATTTACGTGTTGAGGAGTCTAGACTCATTTATCTCTTTATAGCAGCATTTAAAGGATAAGCAAATTAAAGAACAGCTATAGAATATATAATTCCATAGCTAGTATGAAGGGGAAAGGGTGGAAAGATAAATAAAATGTGGCTAATCCAAAGGAAATTGAGATAAGTTATAGTGAAGTATTAGGAGGTAGGCATAAAGTAAAATAATACAAATAAATCATAAAATAACACATCACAATAAATTTAATACATACTTAAAAATATAAAGGCAGAAAAGATGAACATCAAAGACATTTTTAAAATATAAAGCCAGTCCTAAAAGGAAAACTAGAAAAGCAATATTAAGACCAGACAAAAATACACATTCACTCAAAAAGCATTTTAAAAATAAACACTGCCTCTACATTATTAATTAAAGAAAACTCAACAGAAAGATATAACAATGAAGATGTAGGAAAATGTATTTTAAAATATACATAGCAAACTTTGACAGATGAAAATAAAAGACATGTCTGTTATCAAAGAGAATAACAAGTCTGATTTAATGGAGATATATAGTCAATCAAAATCAATAAAATGCTATTTTTTTATTAATTCTAATCAGTAAGCATGACAGTAGAAAGATCTTTGATTCATTGTACACAAATGGAGCAGAATTTTTCACTTATCTGGTTGTACATGAAGTAGAGTCACACCATTTGTGCAATCATACATGTACCTAGGGTAATGATGTCTCTCTCATTCCACCATCTTTCCTAACCCCTTCCCTCTTCCCTCTCCCCTTTGCCCCATCCAAAGTTCCTCCATTAATCCCATGTCCCCCCTTATGGATTAGCATTCACTTGTCATATTTTTTAAGCACACATGAAAGAGTAAAACAAACATGACCAAAATATTTGATCATGAAGATGGCTTTGAGTTTATATATGTGGACTGGTATTAGATAATTCCAATAATCGATTCATATAATAATAATTTTCTGGAATATTTTCAGGGAAGAAACATTATATAAATATCCCAATAGGTGAAGAGTAACCATATGATAAAATTCAACACAAATTCAATATGTGAAAACATATTTTTAAAAAATCTCTTAACAAACTAGAAATAGAAGGAAATTTCCATAACTTAACAGAGAGTATCTACCAAATTCCACAGCATACGTAATATTTCATGGTGTAAATTTAGTAATATTTTTATAATCAGAAACAAGAAAAGAACATCTGCTTTCAGTGATTCTATTTCCATTTTTTTTCCCAGAGGTTGTAGCTAAAGTAGTAGAAGAAAAAAATTAAGAACGAAGGCATACAGATTAAAAAGGAACTGCAATTATTCTCATTCTCAGATGGTATGCATTACATATTTTTACCAACCATGTTAAAAAAATTACTAGAACAACAAGAAAGCTTAGTAAAGTTGCTTGATATAAGATCAAGATAAAATTTAATCACAAGTTTCCAATAATAATAAAATTGCTTGTATGAGACTAATCCTTTGGCTTATAACAATTACAATTATAACTTCTCAAATTTTTTTAAAAAAAACATCTTTTGAAGAGAGATGAAAAATAGGAAAATTTAGAGCAATCTCAACATTTGAAATAAGGAAGCTCACCTGGGGAAAATTAGCATTTATATGACTTTTTGCCTGAGAGAACTCCCCAGTGGTCTCTATGCACCATCTAGATCTAAATCAGAAAACAACAGTTTCTCTGCTCTCCTGATGGCTCTGCTTGAGGGATCTGTCATTCCACGGACTTCAGGTCACTTGACTATCCTAAAATCCAAGCTCTATGACAAGCTTGAGAACATTACCATGATGTAGTTCATCTGACCTTTTCTTGGTGTTAGGATGAAAGCAACACTCTTTTCCACTTTCTACCTCCTTAGTAGAAACAAAAGTCTCCTCCTGTGCACTCCACTTTTTAGCAAAGCCATGCTTGATTGTCAGCTGGGTGATTCTCAATTCAACTCTGAACTGGGGTTGGATTTCAGAGGTAAGCAGAAAGACTGTCCATAAATACTTTACGTTTTAAAGTTGTTTCCATGGGAGTTCATTAATGTTTATTGCTGTATTCTGGTAGATGAATATATAAGATTTTGCTGATTCTATGTTTAAGGGATATTTGAGTTGTTTTCATTGACAAATGCAAGATAAGGCAGTCAAAAAATGTGTTTGGTTAGGTCTTTGAGTGCACAAGTGCACATGATTCTTTTGAACAGAAACCTAGATGTGAAATTGCTGGTCTTCAGGAATGTGTCATTCAACTTTAGTAGGAAATTCTGAGGAGTTCTTTAAGTCCTTATATCAATCCTTTTTGGTTCTGTGGTTCACTCCACATGCTATTACAGTATTATGTGACTTGATGATTTCACACCATCTTATTAAGTGTAGAGGAATCTCATAATGACAATTTGAATTTTACTAGCTACATTTGTACCACATATCCAATGCTACTCTGTCAGTCTTTAATAGTATCTATCAATAAACAAAATTTTAATGTTGTGCTGCTTATCAAGGTTAAAATGATTTTCTACTCTCACAGACCTCAAGAGATTTTACTATAATCTTCAAAGATTACTGTTTCTTGCTCATTTATATCTGCAAACCATATGGAATTGATTTTTCTATCTACTGTGATGTAAGCATCAAAGTCCTTCCCCCACGCCATATACATATTCAGTCGATCTAATACTATTTATTGAAAAGACATTCTTTCTACATATCTCTTTGGTGTCGTGTTTGAAGGAATTCAAATGTGTAAATACTTGAAAGTTATTTTATGGACTTTCTCATCTGTTCTACCTGATGATTTGACTCTTCTTAAATGAACTATTCACTGTCTAAATCACTGTAGCTTTCTAGGTCTCGATATCCAATAATATGAATCCTTCTACTTTATAATCCCTTTAAAGAATGTGTTGGCTATGTAGGGACCTTTGAACTTTTTCCCCTTGGTGTTTCAGCTGATTAATCTTCATTTGTGTTATCTTCTAAAATTTTAAAAATTATATATTTTAGCTAAATAATTTCCTGTACATTAAAATTTTAAGTTTTAATTTATTTCAAAGATAAATTGAAAGGAAAGTACAGTGATATCCTATATGTGTCTGGTTCCCACAGAGGCATAGCTATCCTCCACAGCAAGAACCCCCACCATAGTGGTAAAACTATTACAATTTATAAACCTACATTGAAACATCATTATCATTCAAAGTCCATAGTTTACTTTTTAGTGCTTGCTCTTGGCAATGTACATTCTATAGGTTTAGACAAATGTATAATGGACTGCATCTGTCCCTAAAGTACTATGCAGAGTATTTTCATTGCCATAAAAAATTTTTGTGTTCAGTCTAGTCATCATTCCCTCTCCACTAACCCCTGAAACTACTTATGTTTTTCAACAGCTCCATATTTTGCCTTTTCCCAAATTTCATATAGTTGGAATAAATACTTTATAACCTTTTTCTGATTGGCTTCTTCCACTTAATAATATCATTTAAGTTTCTTCCAAGTTTTTTTTATGACTTGATAGTTCATTTGTGTTTTGTACCATATCATATTCAATTATGTGTAGGTAACATACTTCATTCACTTACTAAAGAACTGTCTGGTTGCTTCTAAGTTGTGCGGACATAAGTTTCCAACTCCTTTGGTAAATACTCAGAAGCATGATTGCAAGATTGCATGGTAAGTACACGGTCAGCTTTGTAAAAAACTTCTAAACTAAGGGCTCAGTGGTAGTTCTCGCCTAACATGTGTAAGGCACGGTGTTTGATCCCCAACAGTGTAAAAAAAAAGAAACTGTTAGAATATTTTTTTTCTTGATATTTCATCAATTATTTCTCAGGTAATCAATCATCATATCCAGTTAAAATATTTTTTAAAGTAGCCATGCTATTTTACATTCCCACTAGCAGTTGAATGTGAGTCCCTGCTGCTCAAAGCCTTACCTTGTCACTGTTCTGTATTTTAGCCATTCTAATAAGTACACAGTAGTATACATCGTTGTTTCAACTTAAATTTTTAATGACATCATCATCATCATCATCTTTTTTATATACTTACTTGCCATGTGTATATCTTGTTTTGTGAAATACCTGTCAAAATCTTTGACCTGTTTTAAAATAGAATTTGTTGTTGCTGATGGTTGAATTTAAGAGATTCATATATGTTGGAAAACAGTTCTTTATAAGTTTTAAAAATATTTTCTCCCAGTCTGTGTCTTGTTTTTTCATTGCCTTGACAGTGATTTTTGCAGAGCAGAAATGTTTAATTTCACTGAAATCCAGCGTATTGATTCTTGGACATGATGAATTGTACCTAAGTTCTTACATCTAAAAGATCGTGACCAAATTCAAGGTGAAGGCCATCTAGATTTTCTTCTACGTTAGCTATGAGAAGTTTTATAGTTTTCCATTTAACATATAGGGCCATGAGACATTTTTGCAAGGGGTGCAAAGTCCATGTTTTTTTTGTTTCATTTGAACATGTGTATTCATTCTTGTTTATTTTTTATTTTTAATTTGTTCTAATTAGTATATTCATTCTTGCAGCATTATTTGTTGAAAATATTCTCTTTGGTTATTGTCTTTTCTCCTTTGTCAAAGATTCAACTGACTACATTTAAGGGGAATCTATTTTCTCTCTGCTCCACTCATTGATCTTATTTACTCTTTCTCTAACCCCACATTGACTTGGTGATTCTAGCTTTATTGTAAGGGGTGTTAGTTTAGCGGTGTCAGTTACCTGACTTTATTCTTCTTTAATAGTGCGTTGACTAATCTGGGCCTTTTTCTATGCCATATATCTATAGAATCAGTTTGTCAATATCCACAATACAACTTGTATTTTCATTGAGATTTCATTGACTCAAAGATCAACTTTTTAAGAATTAGTATCTTGACATATTGACTCTTCCTATCCATGAACAAGGTATAGCTCTCAATTTATTTAGTTCTCTGAATTCTTTCATCACAGTTTTGTGGGTTTTCTCATTCAAATGTTGTATGAATTTTCTTCCATTTACACAAAAGTATTTCATTTTTGTGAGTGCTAACAAATGTGATATTGTGCTGTTGTGTGTTTGTTTTTGCAATTATATGGACTAAATCTAGGGCCTTATGATATGCTAGACAAATACTGTTCCCCTGAGCTAAATTCCTAACCCCTGGTGTTATGTTTTTAAATATAAAATTTCACTTATTCATTGCTGATGTGTAGGAAAGTGATGGACTTCTATATACTAATCTGATATCCTGAAGCCTTGCTATAATTGATTTTAATACCATGAGGGTTTTTTTTTTTCATTCTTTTATATTTTCTACATAAGAAATGTTACCTATGAACAAAGATTGTTGTATTTCTCCCATTGTTGTTTGTATACCTTTATTTTCTGTTCTTATCTTAGTGTGTTGTGTAAAACTCCCAGGACAATGTTGAAAAGATGTGACAAGAGGAGATAGTCCTGCTTTATTCCTGATATTGGTGAAAAAGTCTTGAGTTCCTCACAACTAAATGATGTCAGCTGCAGGTCTTTTGTAGATATTCCTGATTAAGATGAAGAAGATTTATACTGTTCATAGTTCCCTAAGAGTTTCTAATCTCTTTTTATCATGAAGGGTATTAGAGTATGTAAATGCTTCTTCTTCATCTATTGACATGATCATATGATTGTTCCTATTTAGCCCTTTGGTGTGATAGATTACATTAAATGATTTTTGGATGTCAAAATAGTTTTGCATAAATGAGATAAATCCCACTTGGCTGTGGTATATAATTCTTTTTATACATTATCAAATTTGACTTGCAAATTACATTTCGATTTTTATATCCATATTAAAGACAGACATTGTTTTGTAGTTTTCTTATAATGTCTTTATCTGGTTTTGGCATTAGGGTCATATGGTCCTCACAGGATAAGTTAGGAAATATTCCTTCTACTTGTATCTTCTGAAAGACATTTTAGATAATTGATATAATTACTTCCTTAAATGGTTGGAACATTTCACCAGTGAACCCATCCTAGCCTTCTAGGGGTCTGTCTGGGATTTTAAACTCTCATATTCAAGATATTTGTCGATTACATTTCAGGTTTCTCTGTTCTGATGCTGCTTCCCATGGAGGCTTCAGCTTCACTATTTTGTAATTTTCTGTATTCCCGATTATCTCTCAAAATTTGGGGCACCAGTTTGTCCTGTGTTTTCATTTCTCTTATGAATCCAGAAAGATGTGTTGAATTTTCAGTTTGTTGAGCTTTTTACTTGTTAGGATAGAGTGAAGACTTTTAATCTTTTTATACATGCACAACTAAGAACTAGAAATCTATCCTTTTAAAAAAGTTATAAATAAATTGGCTTTATGCAGTATGTTTGAATTTTTTGATATGTAGTTTTACAGCTAGATATGAACAGAGGATGGTGGGATGACTTTTGGCAAACAGACATATATATTTCCTTTTTCCTTTAGGAAATGTAGACATCGATATTTACATATCTCCTAATCAAGGCAACAATCTATAGATTTATCTATAATTAAAGAATGCAATACTTTTGAAGATTTTCAGATTAAATATTCTTTTTAAAAAAAACTAAACTTTTTTATTGTTTCTTTATTTTTTTATTTTTATGTGGTGCTGAGGCTAGAACCCTGCCTCATATGTGCTAGGCAAGTTCTCCAACTTCAGCCTCAAATTAAACATTCTTTACCCATTGCATTTATATTATTGCAACATTAAATATTTCCATTGATGATAATTTTTATTTTTATTTAAACAATACTGGGTTCCAGTTTTATAAGTTCTATTCCATTTCTGGTGAGCAATCACTCCCCCAGTGTACTCCTTTACCAGTGTACTCGTTCAATAAAAGCCAGAGATTTTACCAGGGTCTCTTCACCGTGGAGCAAGCCTTGCTTTAATGTTTCTTCCTCTTCATCCCAAGGTCCACAGACTGCCAAAAGCTTTGCTCAGTTTCATGACCTCTTAGTCATTTTCCACTTGGCTTCTCCTCCACTCTGCTTCCATTACACTCATCTTCTTAGAATATGGAGAGAGGCTTAGCATCTGGCAAATGCATGGAGACAAAAATTATATCAGATACTGGGTTTATTTCAGTTCCTGTCTTCTCTCCCAGATCTTAGCCTGTGGGGTTCCTGCTTCTGTATTTGCTGTTCACAAGTTTCTAGGTTTTCTAGTTTTGTGTTGTTTTATTTTGTTTTCTGAGGAATTTATACCGAAATAAAAACTTACATAATTGTAGGAGTAACTAGGAAACTTGGGTTCCAAAGGGGAAAATTAGATAATACAGAAAAATCACTGCCCAGTCCTCCTGGAGACAGGTTCTTCCAGCTGCTGGAACTGCAGTGCATAGGTAGATAGGCTCTGTGGAATGTTGCTGCTTCTGGATCTCATGGGGCAAGTCCTATGACCAGGAAGAAGAGCTACACATAGGAGGGTCAAGAAAGGACATGCTGGAAGCTATCAATATATCTGTGTCTGTCTCTTACCTTTTCCAGTCATGATACTCTCCAAAGAAAAATGGTGATTGCTTTACTTCTCCCTTCCAAGTCTCATATAAATATCTCTTTTGGCTGACTAACGGAAATCATGTGCGAAGGAGATTCTGGTAAGCATGGTTCTAGCCTAGCCATGTTGAAATAGTACCAAACCACTAGAGATATAACAAGTGGTTTACTCAGAAGGAAACTAAATGGCCAGTAAACATAATAAAAGATGCCAAAGTGCACATTTACTCTGAAAAAAATGTTATTTGAAAACATAAGATATGATTTCACGTGCATCCGATTGGATAAAATAAAAACTGTTAATGAGGATCAAATATTCCTGGCAGAGTGTAAATTAGTTCAGTTGGGTTAAAAAGCAATTTGAAATATTAAATGACCTTGGAAATATACACAGCGTTCAAGGCAATGATTCTTCTGTTAGATATGCTTGGTTCACACATGTACACAAAGAGAAGTTTACCAAAATATTTATAGCAGCATTGGTTTTAATAGCTAAATAAATAAATAAAGCTTCAAAAGAAAATTAAATGTCTGCTAATGGGGCTCTGGATAAACATCTACTTATTCATAAAATAAAACTTATGCAATGGTTAAAATGAAATAATAAGAGCTAAATATATAAATATGAATAAATCTTAAAGACAATGTTGAAAAAGCAAGTTGCTAAAAAATATAGAGAGCATAATAGCATTTCTATAATTTTTTTAAATATGCAAAATAACACCACATATATTTATGGAATTCATACATATGTATTAGAAATATAAAACGTCCAGAAGAGTGATGCCAACTTCAGGGGAATGCAATAAGGGAGAGTTCACAAGAGGCTCTGATAGTATTTGCAATAGTTTTATTTCCTATGTTTGGTACAGATGCATGGGTGCTTGTTCTGTTATCCCAATACATTTTAGTTAGCCATCACTCCTCCAGTGTACTCCTTCAGTCATTCAATAAAAGCCAGATTTTTTACTGAGATACCTTCTATGTGGAACACTCCATGCTTTAATTTTTCTCCCTTCCTCATCCCAAGGTCCATAGACTGCCTAAAGCTTTGCTTACTTTCATGACCTCTTAGTCACTTTCCATCTCGCTTCCCTTCCACTCTGCTTCTGTTACATTCATCTTCTTGGAATATGGAGAGAGGCTTCTAACCTGGCAAATGTATGGAGGCAAAAAATATGTCAGATATTGGTATTATTTCAGTTTCTGTCTTCTCCATTGGAAACAACACCAGGATACAGAAACCTTAACTGAAACTGACAAACTCTTGAGTAGGAAAGTTTAAAGTTCCAAATTTATTTCTTAATTGCTGAAAACAGAAATCTGATCTTGCAAAGTATATTTAATTCCCCTGTCCACAAAAATAGTTCCTTAACTTCACCTATTCCACATATCAGTGCATCAACCAAACTTTAAATCTCTCCCCTCTTGATTCAAACGTTTTTTCTTTCTTTTTATGTAATATTAACTAGTTTTTGGATATTTTATGGTTAAGACTGAACTCTTGCTTAAAATTAGAAAATACTATCTCAGTAACTTTTGTATTATCACACATCTTTGAACCCATGTAATATATTTTTCTTTACTTGGGTTTTATCTTATTTTGGAATTACTTTGAGTAAAAAGTAAGGGTCATTTATTGAAAAGATAAAGGATTTATTCCTTATACAGTAGTCCCTTGGTACAGTAGAATGAACTGGACATAACTTTCCTATGTTCATATATGAATACATGACCAGTATAACTCTGCATCATGTACAACTACAAGAATGGTGGTTATATATTCTACTGTTGTGTATAACTAAAAAGAACAAATTTAAAAAATAGTCCCTTAGTATCCCTGAGGGATCAATTTGAGGGCTTCCTTCTACACAAAAATATGAGGAGGCTCAAGTCCCTTATATATAATTGTGTAGTATTTGCATATAACCCATGCATGTCCTATTGTAATACTTTAAATCAGCTCTAGATTTCTTTTTTAATATATATTTTGTTTATTTTTGACATGTTATGATTTTTTAAAATTTGTTTTAATTAGTTACACATGACAGTACAATGATCTTCACATATCATACATTTGAATCAGATGTGGTATAATTTCTCATTTTTCTGAGTGTACAGATTGTCTAGATTTCTTATGATGGCTGATTCTATATACATACTAAGTAAGGAGTTTATACTGTCTTGTTCAGAGAATGATGATAAGAAAAAAAGCTTGTACATATTCAGTACAGTCATAATTGCTTTCTGATTATTTGTTATCTATATTAGTTGAATCCAAGGATAGGAAGGACAACTATATTTAAGAAACTGATAACATTTACTAGAAAGGTTAGAAAGGCATTTAAACTTGGCAGGGCTGGTACACTTGAGAAAGTCTGTAGGAGAAGGGGAATATAATACGGAAGGGAAGAACAAATGGAGGGAGTCCCATCTTTGGGATATACCAGAATGAAAAGGAGGAACAAAGGAGTTAACAAGAAGGCATATGTTGTAGATTGTGTGAAATGGTCCTTCCTCAAAACCCTTCAAAAATTTTCAATATATTCATTAATTCATGAAATGCTGATAAAGAGTGAAATTTTAAGGAAACAGTGATGGTGGGGGATATTCACATGAGAGTATAATATGGCCAAGAACTAAAACAGCCCATGTAGATTAGGAGCTCAAAGTCACATGAGGAAACATGGTAAGGAAAGACTGATTTTACAGAGAGCTCTGCGAACAGCCACTACCCCTAGAAGTGGAAACCAGACCACATTCATTCAAATTTCCAAAGAATATGACACACCACTGTTGACAACTCTACCACATTAAAACATATTTTAAACAGGCTGACCTTTTCCCATTCCTTTCAATACAGTTTGTAAGTGAAACTGAAATGCAGTGTTTGCTGTCAGGAAAGTTGATTCAGAGCAACAAAATTCAAATGACATATAAAGTATGTGTATATCCTGCTTAGGCCTTAATGGCAGAAAAATGGTAGCATTTTTTTTAGAAAGGTGGATTAAAGTCAAATTTACATATAAGTTTCATTTTTACAGTTAGATATGTAGAGAAAATGGATTGATAACTTTTGGGAAGTTGATGTATGTTTTTTCTCTTCCTTTTAGCAAATGTAGACATCAATATTTAAGTAACTCCTAATCAGGGCAATAATCTGTAGACAAAGTATCCGATACTTTTGCAGATTTTTAAAATTGAACATTGTTTACCCTTTGGATTTAAAATATTTCAACATTAAGCATGTATGTTGTTGGTAACTTTCATTTAAACACATTCATTGCCTTCTTATATTTTTCTGGTGAAGTGGTCATTAAAAATAATTCTTCTTTATTTAAAATTTAAAAGTTTTATTTTAGAAAAATAAATATGATAGAGTTACAGAACAACATTGCTTTGATTTAAAATAGTATGAACTGAACAATATGAAAGTATGGTTTTCTTGTTATTAATTAGCAAAATTTTAATGATTTTTGTTTTGTGCATGATATTTGTTCTTTTTAAATTCCTTGCTGGTATATACATGTCTTGAATTATATTATGCCCTTGTGATGGAAAAAGAAAGTTGGACCCAAAACTTCTTGTTTGTAATGAGTTATTTGCTAAGCAACAGAAATTTTAACCTTCTCTCAGAAGTTTCATTGATGGTAACAGTTGGAACAAGCCACCTCAGTATTAGTGTTAGGGTGGAAGGGTCTAGAGTCAAGGTTTTATGATTTCAAACCACTGTTGGTCTTTGTAAACCGGGGTCACTTCTTTAATCTCTGTGAGAACATTACAAAGCTCTCTTCTTGGGAGAATTTGAATGAATGAATGGGATCATAAGTGCAGAACTTCCCGTGTAATGCCTAACATAGTAATAATCAACACTTGTGAGGTATAATTATTTTTCTTAAATTATGTAGGCTAAAAATGGCTATTTTGGGGCTGGGGTTGTAGCTCAGTGGTAGAGAGCTTGCCTAGCATGTGTGAGGCACTAGGTTTGATCCTCAGCACCACATAAACAAATAAATAGATAAACAAACAAATAAATATATAAATTTATTTATGTCCATCTACAACTAAAAAAATAATTAAATTTAAAAAATGGGGGCTGGGGTTGTGGCTCAGCAGTAGAGCCCTTGCCCCGCATGTGCAAGGACCTGGGTTCGATCCTCAGCACCACATACAAATCATAGATGCAATTGCTGCTTAAGCTCAGGCCATTGCTGCCTGTCTTCAGTAGGCAACCTAGTCAATAGAAGCACCTTAGGGGCCAGAGTGTCTTAGACACTGCCTCCTTTGTGACTTGAATTTAGGTCTCTACACCTTACTTTGCTCATTTGCGAGTTGAGAATTTAGAGGAGAGGATTTCTATAGGTCTAATCTAGTTAGTCCCAATAATCAATGAGTTAGTATTCTTTCTTGAATACACCTGTATTATCCACTAGAAATACATGGACCCCACATTAAAGTGAGGCTCAAGAGAGAAACACAGGTAGCTGAAGAAGAAAGAATGTCTCTCCTGACAGATTCACTCAGCAACAAAACTCATCATACATTTTAATATCACTAAAAAAGGTGAATTCACATAGTCCACTTATTCTCTAATTTCTTCATTCATGTGAAAGCAGTGCATACCTACTTTATAGGCGGTACTAGGAATACAGAAATAAATATTTCCCCTCCACAAAGTTAGTGGGACAAGCACACAATCACACCATTGTGAAAAGGACCTGAGTGTTCATGAATATATGGTTAATTTCCCATGTGGCACTGCAGAACAGTGGCAAAAGGACAGTCTCTGCAGTCAGTTAAGTGTTAGATTAATTGAAGAGCCATATGGAAAAACCAACCTTAACAATTAATAACCTTAATAATAAACAAAGATAAAGCCAGGTAGATTGCAGAATCAAATATGAAAAATAAAATAATAAAGCCTTAAAAAGATAACAGAATGTCTTTATAAATGTGGAGTATACAAATATATCTTAACATATAAAAAGTTCTGACTATGAGAGAAAAGACTGACAAACTGGATCACATTAAAATTCTCAAAATATTTCCTTATCAAAAGATAACACTAGGCGCTGGGGCTGTGGCTCAGAGGTAGAGTGCTTGCCTGGCACTGTGAGGTACTGGGTTTGATCCTCAGCACCATATAAAAATAAAATAAATAAATAAAATAAAGATATTGTGTCCAACTACAATATATGTGTGTGTATATATAAAGATATATCTTTATATATATATATGATAACACTATTAGAATAAAATGGTAAATTCCAGAAGAGAATTCATAAAGAAGTGCTAAAAATCAGTTAGAAAAAGACAATCCAATAGAAATATGGAAATGGACTTAAAATAATCTTTCACAAAAAAACAGATATCAAAATGGTCATTAAACATATAAAAAGTTCTATAATATCATTGCAAATCAAGGAAATATTAGGTGAAAACATAATTTTGGCATATGTACAATGATATGCCACCATATAATGGCAAAAATAAAACAAGGAGAACCAACCTATAGTGTTGAGATGCTGTCATGAAGAATCATGTGATGAGTCATGTTTGAAATGAGGCTTCTGAACAGATAAAACACTCAGCACGCACCCAAGGCCCTCCCAGGCTGGGAAGGGGCCCTGGCCACAAACACCTGGGAGAGGCCTAGGCTCTGAGTTGACTCAATGCATTTCCTGTCTTAAGAATATTTTCGTTTTAACCATAAATGGGTTAAATGCTATATTCTGTGACTTGAGAATTTCAGGCATCGAAAAAAGGGACATTAGTTGAGGATTGGAAATGGGGAAGGAGTAAAGCCATCTGCAAGTGAAACTGCAAAGGAGGAAAATTTGATATTGTATGAGAAGAGATACGATTTTTTTTAACTCCCTTTCTTAAATGAAGTGGTGTGGTTACTTTCCTTCATCCTCCCTCTCTCCAAATGTTTTTCAATCCTGGCTAGTTGATGGTTTCAGTGTCCTGTCTGTAACCCTCTAAGTTTCCCGTCTCCATGCAAACAGCTCCCTATGTGCTTCTACCTATGTCTTTGTTGGGGGCATTGTGCTTAGACTTGCCTGGCATTAGCCCCAGGCAGTTTTCTGCATTGACTGTTGGGTATATTTACTTAGCTCTTTGGCTCTGATGAGTCTGCTCTAAGGTGACTT